GCATTATGCTCGGACCAATTTAAAAAGTATGTGTATTTTCATTTGTGGGGTTGTTTTGTGGAATGGTCCTGACGAAACGATTGAACAAAGTATGAATATAACGCAATTTAAAAAAATGTACTAAAGATATATCTTTGAAAAGTACAGAAATGAGGAAGGAGAATGTAAATCTAACAGATGTTAATGGCACCTGTTCATTTTGTTCTTTTTGTTTTTGTTTTGTTTTTCTTAATATCTCGATTGGAGTCTTTTTTTTTTTGTATTGTCTGTTTAGTTTATTTTATTGGATTTTGCATTTGTTGATGGTGAAGAATGGGGGTAGGACTTGACAAGCCTGGGCTTCTTCCTATCCCTTTTCGAACGAGTCAAATGTGTATTATATTGAAATTGGCTTTTTTATTTTTTTATTTTATACAGATTTTTTTTCCATTTGTTGTTTATTCATTTTCATCTGTTTTTAATCGTTCGAAATAAAGAATAAATAAATAAAAGTAACGGAAAGAGAAGAAAAAAAAGAGAGAGAGCAGTTTTGAAGTCAGGATTACGTGTGTACCGCTTTAAATGTGTGATTTAACCTGTGTGTGTTTATTTTACAGGCCAGGGGTTCTAAAAGACCCTCAGATCATGTCCGGGGTTTGGCTTGTCATCTTTTACATCGTGTGCCTCATTCTGGCCAGACAGGTGTGTGTAATGTGTGTTATGTGTGTGTGTGTAATGTGTGTGTGTGTGTGTGTTTGAACAAATGTCTCTGTTATGTAATGTTTGTACTCACAGCTGTTTGTCCCCCGGTTGGTTCTCTCTGTCAGGACGAGCTGGGTTGCCGTGTAGACTTCTTGCTGGAGCGATGTTTCGTCGCGGAGAGGGAGGAGATGGAGACCATGGAGAACGTCAACAAACTCCTCCTGCAGAACGTGCTGCCGCTCCACGTCGCCTCCGTCTTCATGGGGAAAACTATTCGCAACCAGGTATGCACAAGCTCTACTTCACACCATGTTGTCTTCACGCTCATTTTGATGAACTAGTTAGCTAGCCATGCATTTTCTACTGAATGAACGATCTGCAGAGTCCCTTTGAACCTTTAAGAAAAAGCTAAAGACCCAGCTCTTTCATGAATACCTACTAACTTAATGATGATGGTCTCCATATTATTGATGATGATGATGGTAATGACGATGGTTTTTGTTTGATAACGACGACTTATAAGATGGTTTCTATACTGATTAGAGCTCTCAAGAACTTCCCTCAATGTTGTGCTTTGCCTCTGGTCACTTCCTGTCAGCACCTGTGTGTCCAATCAGACTCAAAGCTGATCGTTTGCTCTTACTCACATTGTTCCCTTTTTTCTAGATCTTTGTTTGTGTTGTTCTTACTCTCTGATGTACGTCACTTTGGATAAAAGTGTCCGCTAAGTGAATTGTAGAATTGAATAGAAGAGTTTGTTTAGTAGGTCAGATGTCTTTTATCTCACTAGAAATAAAGCTGATACTTGATCTGAAGAGAGTAGTTTAAATGGTTCAATTAAAGAAGTGTTCAAGCATGACTTTAAAGAGGAAAGAGAAACAGTAAGGAGGTAGTTTAAAGCAAATCTATTGATAAACACCTCAGGCTCTCTGGGTGATACATGAGTATCCATCTGTCATTTCAGGTCTTAAATGTAATTTTTACTTTAAATGTCTTTTTCTGATAGTCCCTCACTTCATACCTGTCTCTGTTTCAGGACCTGTACAGTCAGTCATACTCCTGTGTGTGTGTGATGTTCGCCTCGGTGCCAGAGTTCAAAGAGTTTTACAGCGAGAGCAGCGCCAACAGGGACGGGCTGGAGTGCCTGCGCCTCCTCAACGAGATCATATCGGACTTTGACGAGGTGTGAGGAAGAGGATGTTCGCACAATCTGTCAGAGTCTGAAACATCAGGTTGGATTATTTTGTCTTTAACTCTTGTCTCTGCAATCTTTTCGCTTGCAGCTTCTGTCAAAGCCCAAATTCTGTTCAGTGGAGAAGATCAAGACGATCGGCAGCACGTACATGGCGCCACAGGGCTGACGCAGTCACCTCAATGGGACGAAACAAAGGTCTGCTGTTTTAAGATTTGATGGGATGTTTTAGAAGGAAACACTTGTCCCTCTTCATTGACATGATCTCTGGCTCCCCCTACAGGAAGTGGAAGTCTCCTACAGTCATGTGCGCTCCATGCTGGAGTTTGCCATCTCTCTGATGGGCAGACTGGAGCTCATCAACACACACTCCTTCAACAGCTTCAAACTCAGGATCGGTGAGTCTGAGAATACTACTGATGATGGATCCTTCAAGTTTTAATTGTCATTCCTCCAATATAACAGCAATTTTTTAAAATAATTTTTAAACTATATTTTATATATTGTAATAGCTTCGTATACTGTATTATTTAAGTTGTTGCTAGTTCTGCTTTATTTCCTTGTTAATTGTTTAGCACCAATACACCAAGTCAAACCTTGTATGTGTAAATGTACTTGGCAATAAACCCGATTCTGATTCTGATAATCTACTGAATCTTTGACAAACTCCCAACATTTCATCAACTGGATCCATGCAATACTGACCCAAGACATTAACCTTTCGAGCCCCTCCAGAACATTATCAGTATCTTCTTTTAAATCACTTTTAAAAACACATTTTTATCCTAAGGCCTTCTTATAATCCTTGTTTCATCCAGGATGTTTTATTTGTTTTACTGTTAACTGTAGCCGATCTTTTTCTCTGTTCATTGGACGATTGCTGCACTGTTGTTTTATTTTTCATGCTTTTAATAGGATTTTATTGTTGTGCATTTGCCTGTTGGGATTTTTTCTTTTTTTCTGTAAAGCACTTTGTGACGTTGGTTTTGATAAGTGCTTTATAAATAAACTTTATTATTATTATATATTATATTATTAAAGTCCGGTTTATATCCATGATTTGAAAAATGCTTATGAACCTTTAACTTCGTTCACATGGCAGGGATAAACCACGGGCCGGTGATCGCAGGAGTGATCGGAGCTAACAAACCTCAGTACGATATCTGGGGGAACTCTGTGAATGTGGCCAGCAGGATGGACAGTACAGGAGTGCTGGACAAGATACAGGTGAGAGAGGGGAAACAGGGTCAGTGCAACATGATGCCTTAATGAGAAAACCTGATTTAGAGCCACATAGACTGCTTACACTGATTTTTTAGCCGTATTTTTTTTACTATTTTTGACAGCATATGTGAACATACATTTCAAGACGATAATTAACATATAGAGAACATTTTATGTCATGAGACAATTTCAGAGCGGATGAAAAATGTTATGTAAAACCCTGTTCTTACTCCTTCACACAACCAGAAATGGGAACGATAGTAGTTTTTAGAACATGTTTAAGATTGTGCAAAACTTGTGATCTTAGCTTCTGTCTGTAATTAATCCTCTCATGCTCCCAGGTGACGGAGGAGACAGCCCAGGTGGTGGAGAGCGTGGGATACAACGTCACCCTCAGAGGCGTGGTCCACGTCAAGGGGAAAGGAGATCTCAAAACCTACTTTGTGAACACGGAGCAGTCGTGTCCTCAGTTCTGACCTCCTCCTGTCTGAGGCTGAGCACACTTTAAAAGACTTCACATGTCCATGTTTGTTTTAATGAACCTGGTGTACCTCACGGCTCCGTCTCGGGGACTGAGACATTTGCACTGACTCAATGCTGAATCGTGTAAAAAGGAGTCGCCTTCGTCTTTTGGATGAGACCCTAAATAAAATCCTGAGATCCGGTGAAATGAAGACTACAGCTGTGGACTGAAAGCAGAAAGCTTTCTACTCATGGACCAGAGTACTCAGAGCCACAACACTAACTGTATCTGTACTGTATCAATAATAATAATAATATTATAAATTACATTTATGTAGCACTATAAATACTCAAAGACGCTTTCACAGGAAACAACAAAAACAAAACACTACACTCCTCGCCTCCGCCTTTTTATAATCATTCTGAAAATACATAATCTGAAGGATGTTTTACTTCCTGGTGTCTGAATCAATACCAATCAAAAGTGTTCATGTACGATGAATGTAACGGATGTACCAGAGACTGCAGACGTTTTATGAGCTACATTTGAACCCATTTACAGGAATTTATTTAAAGTTAACATTTTATTTTCACTTTATTTTGGTTTCACAAAATTCAGATTTTTGCGTCTTTCAGCTCTAAAGGTTTTATGCGAGCTCGTGCCGCTACAGATGTTGCTGTGTCTTTAAGAAGGATGGGGGTTTTGTGATCCCGTTTGGTCTTTTTTACTGGCCGACAAACTGCAAAAATGTTTATGAGTCAGAAATTATGAAGGGGGAAAAAGAAAGACTTATGTGAAGACAAAGAAAAATGAAGCGACGGTTGAAGGTAAACTCACTCAGAGTGGACAAACACTTTAACCATGTACTCGTCTGTATTTATTTGTAAAGCTTAGGAGCTCTCACTCACTGCTTGTCTTACTGCTCTCTGCTGGAGTCGGAGATGCCTGCATGTTAAATTAAAAGGCGTGACATTTGATGATGAATGACGTGGTTGTGCCATGAAGAAGTCGGATAACGCTCATTTGAAATTGCACTTTTTTTAAATGTAGTGTTTTTTAAAAGGGATTTTTGCAATACCAATACATTGTTGACAATGTTGCAATGAATATTATATAATAATATAATATATCATGTTTTATTTCTGAGGGATGACGTGTGAATGTAATGAAAACATGAATTGAAGTCAGGGTGGAATATATTTTTATATATTTAATTTATAAACCAATAATAAAAAAAAATACAACTACAGTAGTGTGTGTGTGTGTGTGTGTGTGTGTGTGTGTGTGTGTGTGTGTGTCAGAATCCTTCATGCATATATCCTCTGCAATCAAGAACTGTGGAATTTCCCCCCATTCGCGGCAACGCCCACACGCGCTGTGATTGGCTGCAATAACTTGTGGACTAACTTTTAGCGCTTGTGATTGGCTGACGCCGGTGGCAGTCACTGCGCTTCCTGCTTCGCCGTGCGGTTTGTTATTGAAACGCGAAGGGAAATGTTGAGAGTCGGTGAAGTCGGAAAGTGTGTGTTTGATGAACGCCTTCACAAAGTTTAGTTTCTCGGTCGATAGTTTCTTTGAATTGTTCTGTTCGCGGTTTTATCGGCTTTCCTTTTCACGTAAACTCCGTCTGGAATATGAATGAGGAGAGTTACTCAGCGGTCGTCACCTGGAGTTACCTTTACGTGAGGTGGACGGGCACACTTCGACCTGTGCTGTCGTTTTATTTTATTTAACCGTGTCGTTTAATTTCCAAGTGAATGGAGTCGAGTATTCCGTTTTAAACGAGCACAATTTAAACTAAAAAAAATATATATATATATATGTCAGTAAAGATGTCAGGGGTCAACGAGCAAATGAAGAGGCGCCGCCCCCTCAAAATGTTTTTGATCTCGTCCGACGTGAAGGTGCAGGACGAGCTGGACGGTACCATTCGGCTTCAGCGGGGGTTCATCTGCCAGGAGCAAGAGCAGAGGAGCAGAGGCGACTTTCTTTGGGTCAAGGTATTTACATTTTTAGACTTCAAATACTATAGTTTTTTTTTATATATATACATTTAATTGAGAGATTTTATTTGTAGTTAAGACAGTCAACAAATATTTTTAGTAACTAAGTGTGCTGCTGTTTTGTGTCGTCTGATGTAGGGCTGGGAAATATATCGAGTTTTTAAGATAAATCGATATATTTTCAAACTAGATATCGGGTAAGACGATATTGTTAATATCGATATAGTTTAAGTTACATTAAAATAATGTTACAGAGGTGCCAGGTCATCTTTTGTCATCTCACTGATGATGACTGGCTGTCTGCTCCTCCTCTCTCTCTCTTTTATTGTATTTAAGGAACATTTTTATTTTATAATATTACTTTTTAAATTCACAAACAGGTAGTTTATTTTTCATGTGTTTTCACTGTTAATAAAATACATATCGATATATATCGAGTATCGCCATTCAGATAAAGAATATCGAGATATGAGTTTTGGTCCATATCGCCCAGCCCTAGTCTGATGTAACAGTACATGTTACATGCCTTGTTTAAGGGCACCTCAGGAAGTGAACTGGCACTTCTCAGCCACCAGACCAACTTCCAGTTTTGGTCCTTTCGGGACTTGAACCGGTGACCCTCCGGTTCCCATCCCAAGTCCCTACAGGCTGAGCATTTATGTCAGTTTTTATTTATGTTTGTGGTGAGGACGCATACATGTAAGAGTTTGCATACTTGTGTACAGTCGGAATAAATTTAGTGTTTATTTGTATTTATTTAATGTAGTTATCTATATAACTTACTCGTTGTGTCCAGATTAGTAAAGACAGAGTTATGTGTTCTTGCACAGTTCATGCCTCCAACCTTTCATGTCATCCAGTGTAGCCCCTGCAGATATGACCCTGATACGTTTGTCTCTCCTTCAGGTGCTCGACAACAATGCCATGGTGAAACTGGAGAGGAAGTTCCTGCATGAGCTCCCGCCTGACTTGAGCGGCCTGCTTGAGCCTGTAGCTGATCCTGATGCCCGCCTCAAACTTCTGAGTAAAACATTGTTGGTTCCTAAGTTAGGAGTAGTGGTGTCACAGATTTTTACAAGAGGGAAGAGTATGTGAGTGAAAGACGTGTGAATGTGAAATAATTGGATTAGTTAATACATTTAAAGAGTGAATATGGGATCTTTCCGACATTAAACGTCTCTAAATCCTGAGTTCAGTTTAAGTTTTTTAATGAGGAAATTCGGAAGTAAAGACCTATCATATGTTTTAGTCTTTCCTGAACCTCAGCCTGTCCTACTTTTTACGCTCATGGAGCACATGCACACTTAAAAAACCATTAACACATGGGTGAGCTCAAATGAAACCAAAAGTGACTCCAGTAGTTTAGTTTAGTTGTTTCCTTCCTCTGCCGTGAGGTTTCCATTGTGTCATGTTTTGTTTTGTATTTTTTCAGACAATCCTGAGAAGTTGCGGCAGCTGGCTTCCTTGCCTCTCGATGCCCCGCTTTGGGTCCAGATCAGCCCACAGGACGAGCTGGCGGAGGCGGAGCTGAAATACGTCGGGCCGACGACCAGAGGGAGCAGCGCTGTGCTGTTTGGAGTGCAGCTCAAGGTAAACACACCTCACAAAAATGAGGATTTGATTTGATACAACTGTTAACATTAAAGTCAAAAGATTCCAGACACTTCTTAGTTCTGATGGTTGCATAAAGAGAGGGCAGCAAACACTCATAGAGCATCTGTACAGTGAAGGGAAACGTAACCACTCAGGACTCTGATCTGTGTCTTCTTCTGCAGGGTTCAGCGGCCGGTAAAGGATTGAGTAACGGTACCTTTAGAGGTCATCGTCTCTTCAGCTGCCCTGATGCGTGCGGCCTCCTCGTCCCAGTCAGCCTCATCAGACTGCGCCGCTGGTCTCGCAGCAACATCACCGACGCACAGGATCGAGCCCGCGAGCGAGACCACCACCACCAACACCAACACCGCGGCGGCGGCGGCAACAATCACCCCAGCAACGGGAAACACCATCACAGCAGCAGCAACCACCCGAACCCTCCCCATCATCATCCGCAGCAGAGTCGTCACATTAGTTTCCACCAGCAGCGTCCCAGCAGCCCTCCTCAGCCGCGCATTTTTGGCATCCTGCCTCGGACCGCAGAGTCCGTCCCCGTCACGGCTCAAAACCAGGTCCAAGTCCGAGCTCCTGCTTCACCTCCACCTCTCCATGTAGGTCAGCGCGTGTGTTTCCCCATGGAGGACAATTTGCACCCCGGGGAGGTGCACTTCTGCGGCCTCCTTCCTGGCTGCAACTCATCAGTGATGTACGTTGGAGTCCTGCTGGTCAGTACAACAAACATTAAAGAATTTCAAATTTAGCTTGAATTTTGCCCTTCCAGAGAGGGGGCGTGGTCAGGCGCAGCTCATTTACATATTTAAAGGTACAGACACAGAAACAGCCTGTTCTGAGCAGGGCTGAAATAGATTTATAGACATGATCAAATACAGGATCAGAGTGGATTTAGAACAAGAAACTTCTTTAGGGGAGCTCTGACTCTTATTTAAACTGGTTGTTGAAGAGGAGGATATGTGACCTTTAAAACAAGAATAAATGCAGATAAAATAACTCACATGTTTACACAAACTATCCTGTTAAAATCATCTTTTCATCTCATTCTTTGTGTTCTTGGAGGATTCTGTTTTTATGTTATGTCATGCTTTTTTTTCATTCATTTATTCCAGTTCCATTTTTGTCCAAAAATTCACTCATCAAGAAATCTATTTTTATTATGCTCTTTTTCTATATGTGCAGCACATCTATCTGCAGCTCTGTGTTTGACTTTGTGTTACAGGACCATGCTGTCGGTAACTGGGACGGATTCTTTAGAGGAGAGCAGCTCTGCCACATTCCTTCCCCTGACTACGGACTACTTGTGCCAGTCACCAAGGTTTCCCTGGGTAAACGACAACAACAGCAACAACAGTTTGTGCTCAAGTGTTTACTCCAGCTCCTCCGAGTGATCCTTAACTTTTCTCCCTATGATTCATTCAGAAACTGTTTGCATTTGAGAGTATTGCTGTTCCTGGAAACACACCGCACAGTAGTAATCGTGTAGAAATGATCACTAAGAATACAGAATAGTCCTCCCCTTTGAGATGTAAACATTGTAAACTGAGCCTAATTGTGACAGTAAGACTGTTTAAAAAAAATAATAATAATAAAAGAAGCAGATGTAGCCTGAGGTTTAAAAGTGAAGTTAGGGAGGCCTTAAAGCTGCGTTCTTTCTAACAGCCACCAGGGGGCGACCTCATTTTTGTTTTATTCCGAGCTCTGCTTTTTCCTTCTGTGACAAACATTTAGAAACACCTGACTTTTGTTTCCCCTTTTTGCACATCTAGAGTCTAAATCTCATCGTCACAGTCCGGCCCAACATCCCAAATCCATCCTGAGGCCGGCACCGCCCCCCATCTCTAAACCCGGCCCTTCATCGCCTTCTGCCTCCGCTCCCAAAGTCGCTCTGATGCCCCCCGACAAACAAGCAGTGAGACCTCCGCCTCTGCCTCCACCCAAACCGCTCAACAAACAACTGCCCCCTCCCCCTCTGCCGCCTCCCAAACCCGTCAGCCCGACGACGCCGACAGAAGCCGACCAGCCACTGCAGACCAACGGCGAACACGGGCCTCCCTCGTTGTTGTGGACGCCGGACAACGGCGAGGCAGCGGGGGAGGACGGAGAGGCCGGGCAGGGGGGCGAGCTGGAGGTGGGGTCCATGGTGGAAGTGAACGACCCGCCACTGTTTGGAGTTATTCGCTGGATCGGGAGACTCGGTGGGATCACAGAGTCTGTGGCGGGGATTGAGCTGGTAAGGGCACACCACGTGACCTCCTCCTCGCCGTTTATACATACATGTCCAATTTGAGCAGTTTTTTTTGGTCTGTTATGATGGTGAAGGAGAAACAATGATGATAGTGTAGAACTTTTTGTGCAACTGGTGGGCTTCTGCGTTGGCAAAGTTTAGATTGATGCCGTGACACTGAGAGCACAGACAAAAAAACATACTCAAAATCCCTGTGATTTCATGTTGACTCTGAATGTCGCAGAGGCGTAATGTGGGGGGGGGGAGAAGTGATCCCCACTCTGTACCGACTTCGGCGGTAGTGTGATTACCGGTGTATTTGCAATGTGATATAAGCTGAGTGTGAGGGCTTTGTGCACAGATTTCACGCCTTCAATTTATTAAATATAGTTATTAATAATATTAGTAACTAATTTGAGACTGATTTAAGTGATATTTTGGTTATATTTCCCCGATTTCAGGGTGGTGCCCCCCGAGTTGATTAAGCATAGTTTAATGATATTGTTATTTATATTATTAATAATTAAATATAATTATTAAAGAATGTTGACTAGATAAAACCCCATCAGTAGTAACATGCATTGCAGTAGCAAGACAGGATCAGCTGAGTCATCAGGGCAGCACAGTGCTGTGTGTGTGTGTGTGTGTGTGTGCGCATGTCTGACTTTGTGTATTGTGAGGTCCTGCTGTACCTTGCTGTCTTGCACTTCTGCAAAGCGGTGAGGCAAAGTGACAAAGTGATTCACAGAAAAGCTCGGGATGCATGGTTTAGATCAACTATATCAATCATCGTATCAAATGTAGCATTTTTGTGAATCTGATAACTGATAATCTGATAATTTATTTCTGTTGATTTCGTTAACGAGGTGTGTATCCTTAGTTTTTATCCTCTCTGTAATCTTCCAACCTCCTCAGGATCAGGAGCTCTCTGCTGGAACAGACGGTAGTTACCTCGGTGAGCGTCACTTCCGTTGTCCGGCCAACAAGGGGCTGTTCGTCAAGCTCCGCAACTGTCGGCGGGACTCGAGGTTTCCAGCCCCCGAGACACCTGTCAATCAAGTGGAGCGATGCAACTCCATAGGTAGGGGAAAGCGTGGTTTAAGGTGTCGCACCGTGTTGTATTATACAGTCTTGGAAAATAACGCTGTGACCTTGTTGTGGCTGACAGCATTCGCGGAGTGGGGCAGTGAGCGCGTGGAGGATCACACTCCTCCGGTGGAGGGAGACGAGGCCAGAGAGCTGTACGAGGGCTGGAAGAGAGGCATCCAGGGTCACCTCAACTCCTGCTACCTGGACGCTACGCTGTTCAGGTCAGATTTCCCACACACTCATGACCCGAGCTGATCGAGTTATAACAGATTTAACTATTCTAATGTATGAGGATGTCAGCCAAATCTTTAAACTGGTACACATAGTGAACACATCTAATAAAGGTAAAGAAAAAACCAATGGAGCCTCATTGGGGTACCCAGTTTTGGAAAGTTGAATCTCTCAATGGTGGACTAACCAGACCCAACAAATCAAGTACAGCTGCTTATTTTATGTTCTCTGTGTGTCTGTAGTCTATTCTCCTGCTGCAGCTCGGCAGACTGGGTTCTGTTTTGGCCCTCGGACCCTGAGCAGGACCAGAACTCCAAGCACGCTCAGGACCTGCTGCGGTGTGAGGTCGTCAACCCCCTGAGAAGGTGTGCAAATGATCCCAGGAAGAGTATTATATAATAATACAAGACTTGACTTGTGTTTTTAGTTTAACATTCTCAAATTAGTACTTTCACTTAAGGAACGGATCTGAATGTTTGACTGGGAACAACTGGATCAACAGGCGTCTGATCAGAATCCTGATTTGTTTAAGTACTTGTCTACCTGTGTGTTTCAAAGGTTCGGCTACGTGTGTGCCAGTAAGACCATGGCCTTAAGACGACTGCTGGAGGCCGAGAACAGCGACAAAGGCTTCACCAACCAGGAGAAAGGTGTGTGAGTCAAAGTGTTCCTCTGTCCTACCCCATGTGCACTCTGCAGGTGTTATCAGACACACAAACTGTGTGTGTGCGTGCGTGTGTGAGAGAGACTAGACTGAGGAATGCCGTCATGCAGCTGTTTCTCTGCTCCTCAGATCCTGAAGAGTTCCTCAACACGCTTTTCCAGCTCCTCCGAGTGGAGCCGCTCCTCAAAATCAGGTAACGTCATCATTGTTTTTGTGCGCTTCAGTTTGTTGCGTTGTGATGTGAATCTGATGTGTAATAAATAAAAACTTAATTTAAAGAAACCTTTTAAAGTCACAAAGCTGTAGTCATTTGTACACTTTGGTCTTAAATTCTGAACATACACAAAGAGAAAGTCTACAAGAATTTGTGATCTGTTGGCAGGCTTTGAACGACATATTTTAAAATGTTAAAGTTGTGATTGTTTTGCTGCTGATACTAGAACAATTTGTTCCACAAGTCAAGTCAGTAGAGGATACAAATGTGGATGACCTATTTTCTAATAATGAAATAAAAACCTGATCTTGGTTAAATGTCAGTTGAAAAAAGCAGGACTGGACTACTTTAGCAAAGTAAGACACCTCTGAGTCTAACATTATACTTGTACCTAGAATACAGGACTATTTTTAGACATTGTTTAACAGGGAACACAGATGAAATTTAAGGTTTTAATCGATTTAAACTGTGGGAATTTTCTGTCTTTCAGCAAGACAAAACACAGGATTGAGTAGTGTTAGGAGCAGTTTATCATCTGCTTAGCGCTGAATATCAGTATATTTGTCCTTGAGTGGTTCTCATCAGTGGTATAATGAAGTTTATTGTAAGTAGAAGAGGACCCAGAAAAGAGCCCTGAGGAACACCACAGAAACGAGAAATAAAAGAGAAGGGGGAATTTCATCATTGTGGACCTCAGCAAGACTAGGGAGCACTTACTGGAGACGAATAGGAAATGAGGCATAAAGAGAAGGGTCTTTTGGATAGATTTGAAATTACAGAATCAAAGTCAACAGCCAAACTAGGCCGAGATTACATCATCGGGTGGTTTTCTGAAGTCACAAAACCACAGACAGGTTTTCCTGTTTGTTTTTGAGTTCATTTTTTGTGTATACACATAAAAGCAAATACATGTATAAGACAGACTTCAATTACTGGATAATTTTACATCTGCAGACCTATCAAATCTAAAAAGAAATATACAGCTGATTTGACTTCAGTTTTAATTATAAAAATATTCCCTCCATTAAATTAAATTAAGATAATTACCAACAGGTTTCTCATTCCTCTCTTTGTTTTTTTTTAAACCTCCTCTAACAGATCGATGACTCAACAGCCTCAGGAGTGTCACCTCTACCAGCTCTTCCCGCCCACCACACTTCCTTCCTCGCCCTCCTCACCTTTGCCTCTCTCCCCCATTCACTCGCCCATCCCTCTCTCCTCGCCACCCTCCACTCGGATGAGGGTCGCCAGCGTCCAGGCGCTGCTGGAGTCCTCTTTCATCCACTCCGGCCTCAAGTTTGTCGAGGTAACTAAAGTAATTCAATCATTTTATTTGGAGATACTTGAGTTTAAAACATCATCAACTATCATGTTTGTATTTCACTCCCAACAGGCTCCATCCTGCCTCGTTCTGCTCATGCCCAGATTTGGAAAAGACTTCAAAATGTTTGACGCCATTTTGCCGACTCAGAGCCTGGACATCACAGACCTGCTTGACGACAGTATGAGAAAATAATTAACCTTTTCAGCAGGTTTTTGTTTGATTCTTGTCAGTTTAGAGACCGTAATCCTCGTCTGTTTTATTGTTAATTTTAATGTGAGTATTTCTTTTTTTCAGACACACATACATATATTTAATTTTTGTTTAAAGTGTTGTTTTTGTCTTTTTTTTTTGTCTCTCCAGCTCTGAGACAGTGCAGTATCTGTCAGGCTTTGGCGGAGTGGGAGTGTCTCCAGTGTTATGACGACCCTGACATCACCCCCGGTCATCTAAAACAGTACTGCCACACCTGCAACACACAGGTACACAGTCAAAAAAAAACAAACATGTTGTGTATATCTTCTGACACTGCCACCAAGTGGGCAATTATAACATGAGCATTAGTTTTAAATGAATCAGTTGAGGTGTAATTTGAAGCTCTCAGCTCATGCTTTTCTGTCCATCGTCAGGTCCACAGCCACAGGAAGCGGGAGTCCCACAGCCCCGTGAAGGTTTCTATTCCTGAGGGATCGTGGTCCGGCCCCCTGCACTGCACCCGTCAGCGGATGTCTCTGTTCGCCGTGACGTGCATCGAGACGAGCCACTACGTCAGCTTCGTCAAACACGGGCCCCTCCCCACCGATTGGCTGTTCTTCGACAGCATGGCGGACCGGGAAGGTAATGAAGGATTCTTGCTGATGAAGGTTTGGAATCACTGGATCAAACTTTATATATCTGCATGTGGTCTCCCTCCAGGTGGAGAGAACGGCTTCAACATCCCCCAGGTGAGGGCGTGTCCGGAGGTGGGGCGCTTCCTCAGCCTGTCAGAGGGGGAGCTGAGCAGAGTGGACGCCTCGTCGTTACGAGAGTCCGCCCGCCGCCTCCTCTGTGACGCCTACATGTGTTTGTATCACAGCCCAGATCTCAGCCTGTACAAGTGACACGGACGAACCAGCACAACACACATCCTCTCGGGGGCCTATCGCGATCCGGCGCTCATCAGGGGGAGGCGGCGACGTCCAAAATGTTTAACTCTTGAGTGATTTTTCTTCTGTAAAGAGTCGGCCTGCAGTATAGATGTTGACAATTGTTTACATCTGAGTGTCCACGTGCCTTATTAACACTCACACAGCAAAAAAACAATGTGTCTGTAATGGTTAACACACTTAACATTTAAATTTGCACACTTTTTATTTACATGTCAGTAAGTGTGCACTGTGTATCATATACTAGCCTTAAACTGACTGTAAAAACTGCACACAGATGTTTATATGTTTGTAATGCTTCCATGGCTGTTTAATATAATACAGCTGCACACAATGGGGACAATTGTCCTGATTAATAAATGCACTGATTACTCTTCTAGTTCAGCTATTGATTGATTTATACAGATATTCCCGAGGGAAATTCAAAGCATCCAGTAGCATGTTACAAAGACGTACATGACATGAAACATTTGTTACAAATTAACCACAAAACCAACGCCCCCCCTCCCATACATACATGTATATATTAACTTGGAAAAAAAAGATTGAAGAATACCCCTTGATGAGTCAAATTTGTTTTAGCAGTGTTTAAAAAGAAGAAAATTATCAAGAAATCATCGTTCAGCAGTGAGATACAAGATGCATTATAGTGCATCAAAACATAACTGAACATAAAATATAAAGGTAAAAACCTGAATTTAAAATAATTTCAGAATCAACAGAAAAAAAAGTAAATAGAGAATTTTATTTTTCCATTTAAAAAAAAACTAGTCTTCTAAGATAACATTGAGGACATTTTTTTTGT